CTTCGCCCCTTTTTTTTTTTGAAATGCTGGAGAATTTCTGGAAATCAATTTTAGATTTAATTTAATATATATATATATATATAATTGTGAGTAGTATTTCAAGCCAAAACGAGTCGAATATGAACGAATAAATCTTCCTTCTTGTTTAACTCATTTATATATCGAGCACAAAAAAATGTTCGAGTTCGGCTCGTTAACTTAGGGAACGAATCGAACGCGAGCTTCTTAACTAGTCGAACACGAGTTGTTCGCAAACAATGAGCCGTTTTGACAGACCTAAATGTAATGTACATTTGATTAATTAATTAATTGTAAAATATATTTATTTTACGAGTGATTTCCATACACTTTATAAATATTCTCTATTTATATTTCTAATCTTTAAAATCCTATATAATTATTAAATTTTATATCGTCTTTAGATTATTGAAGGACCTGTGAAAATATCGTTAACTAAATTATTTCAATATTTTACGGTAATTTCTATCATGAGAATGAGCTGAAGTAGATTCCTCATTGTTTTATAGTTGTATTTTCTTATGTTTTTTGATATAGAAATACCACTCATTATTAATTTTATTAGTTCATTGGTGTTTTTATGTAGGATGCACCCGAAACATTGTTTTTTACGTATCCCGCATCGAAAAATCTTTATTTACTGTAGAAGCACCCGTAACTTGCGAAATTTCCGGAGGAGCACTTCGTAACCGTGCTGACACCCCGTCTCCTTCCTTATTTGTTAAGTTGTCTTAAATATCTAATTTAGGAGAAATATTTGTGTATGTAAGACATACGCAGCACTGCGTACGTCAGGTATGTTACAGGAAGAATATTGGAGGTTATATCTGCGTTATACCCACTGTAACCTCACTGCAACCTCCCTGTAACTAACATTAACTTAGAAATATATGAAAACAGAAGCGTGGAACTTAATAGTTACAGGTATGTTACAGGGAGGTTACAGAGGTTATAACGTGAATATAACCTCCAATACTTTCCCTGTAACTTTACGTATGCAAATATTTCTCCTAATTTAGGCATGCTTTTCTAAAATGTATGCAGGTATCACATTGTGAACAATGAGTTCAATGTAATCATTAACATTAAAGGACAACCAATTTTCCAAAGAATTTTGTTACTGCAAGTTGTAATGTACGGTTTTTACTACTTTAAAGATGATAATATCATAAGAAAATTTTACAAATGTCCAAGAAATCAGACTGAACGCGATTGTTACTACTTCAAATGGATTTATTTACTGTAGAAGCACCCGTAACTTGCGAAATCACCGGAGGAGCAGTTCGTAACCGTGCTGACACCCTGTCTCCTTCCTTATTTGTTAAGTTGTCTTAAATGCCTAATTTAGGAGAAATATTTGCATATGTAAGACGTACGCAGCACTGTGTACGTTAGGTAGGTTATTGGAAGGGTATTGGGGGTTTTATCCGTATTATACCCACTTAACCCACATATAATTAACTTGCAAAGTATAAAAAATATGAAAACAGAAGCGCGAAACTTACTAGTTATATATAGGTTACAGAGAGGTTACAGGGGTTATAACGTAAATATAACCCCCAATACCCTCCCTGTAACTTTACGTACGCAAATATTTCTCCTAATTTAGGCATGCTTTTCTGAAATGTATGCAAGTATCACATTGTGAACAATGAGTTCAATGTAATCATTAACATTAAAGGACAACCAATTTTCCAAAGAATTTTGTTACTGCAAGTTGTAATGTACGGTTTTTACTACTTTAAAGATGATAGTATCATAAGAAAATTTTACAAATGTCCAAGAAACCAGACTGAACGCGATTGTTACTACTTCAAATGGCTTAATGAAAGGGATGATGCAACTTTTGATAAAGAAAACGTCAACATAAAATAATTTGATGATTTAGTTAAGAGAAATCACGAAGAACCAACAAAAAAGAGATTAAGAATTAAAATATCTCATTAAAATTCTGATAAACTGTTGCTATTATTTTATTTATATTTACTTATCTTATGGCGCAATAATTATATTTTTTCTGATTAGTTTCCTTCTTGTTTTTTTGACAAAACAATATAGTCGATACCGTTAATTGTTTGAGCAGGAAGCTGCAAGTGAGAATTTACTACTAACATTTGTGTTTGATTGGATGAGTTTAGTGGAACCTACGGGGAATAAAATAAAATGTCTACCCTTACAGATAGATATAGGATCCATTTGGGGTAGCTTATAGGTGGGGGCGGCGTTTGTCGTACTGTTTGGTTCGCGCGTTTCACCAGCTTATCCGAAACTGCGTTTGGGGTTTTACACTAAACGCAGGCCGCGGGGCAACCCCAGCGGCCGGCCCGCGGGCCGCATTTCAGGATAAGGCCGCGGGTCAACCCCAGCGGCCGGCCCGCGGGCCGCATTTCAGGATAAGCAACTTATCCTGAAACGTACAAGTTGCCCCAAACGGACCCATAATCAAATAGAATGCTTTTCAAAATGTCGACCTTAAGAAATAAAGTGCATCCAAATTCTATCAGGGTTCATGAATTGAAAGGCAACACTTGAGATCCTCCTTCCTTTGATGGATTTAAACCATTTAATTATGAAACATAATAATATTAATTTCAGGTCTATAAATATTATAATATAGGGTTTATTTGAGGCAGCTGCAGCTGTTTAAAGAAGCAGATGTGAAACTGCCGAAGAAGAAGTTATAGTTCAAAAAGCTATGGTTGTCATTACAAAAAATTTTATTTCGGAAAAAATATGACCGCTAGCGGCCACCGTATGTAGCAATATCTGATGGAAAAGAGCAACTTTCAGCTGCAGCTCTTTTGAGAACGAGACAAAACACTATTTTGCCAAACATAAAAAATTACAGTGTGGTGTCGCACTGCCGACGCACCGTCACCCCCAAAGACTCCCTTTATCTCTCATATATTAAATTTATGTTCCAAAAACATAACTTTTCTCAAGAAAAACCAAATACCAATACTAGTATTTTTTTAAAATATATTTAGGGAACCTTGAGGCCCTTGCCAACATTATTAAAAATAAAATGGCTATTTATAAATAAAAAATAGAAAAGAAATCACACCCAACTAACAATTGTTCAAGTTTAATAAGGTGATATTTATTAATTTAGACTAACTTCTCCTATATTTCACCCATCTTAAAATAAATTGAATGATTTTAAGATAAATAAATGTCTTAATACATCCTAATTAAATATAATCATTTTGAATCTTAAAACTAAACATAATAATATATTTTTAATCACATTCATTAATTTTGAAACCCTTCATGATAAGAAAATAAAAATTTTCCTTAAAAAATGGTTACATAATTTTTCTTCCAAGCATATATGTCACATTTAAAAGATTTATTTCATATTTAAAAGTTAAAATTGTGATATTTTTTATATTATATACAAAATTTGGGTGATATAAATATAAAAAATAGAACTTTGGTGTTAAATATGTAAGTACATAGGAATTGGGCGTCATATATGTAAATGCCCTTGTGGGAAAAATATTACATCAGAACTCCTGACGTAGAGCTACGTTTGGAGTCCACTGATATGCGGACACGTGACTTTAAGGAAACGTGTGCGATTTTCTGTGATTCGGCCAGGTAACACAGGAGAATATTCCTCCTGTGTTATTTTGCGTTATTCATGTGTTATTGTGGTGGTATTGATGTGTTATTGTGTTATTATAACACCGGGAATATTCCTAAAACACAATAACACATGAATATCACCACAATAACACTTGAATAATGAGGAATAAAATGGGAGGAATATTCTCCTGTGCTAAAATGATTCTTTTTTATTTTTCTGTCACCTTCACGTATCTGCATATCAGTGGACTCCGAACATAACTCTACATTAGGAGTCCTAACGTAATTTTTTTTCGCTCCTTTA